TGCTTTATTTCTAAACATTAAAATTATAAAAACATTTATTTATGTTTTGTTTGATGTCATATTTGTGTTCCAGACTTCCTTGTCCCAAGATGCTTTTCGTTTCATTAAGATTTTTTTTAAAGTGGCTAATAAGGTTAAAATGCGGTGTTTACTCGTTCTCCCACCAGAACGAGATGTGACACAAGGTCGGTTTAAAGTGGGAACCCGAGAGCGTACACCCTGGCTAGGGACAAAAATTCCCCTCAGCCCCAGCAACCGTCGGTTGCGTTGGCCTCAGTGCGAGCACCGATCCCTCCCTCTTGGGCAATGGGAGAGAGTGGCCACGGGCAGCTGTTCCCCAAGGCGGGGCACCTCTTCAGTATAATTTTCCTCAGTTTCCCCTCTGTCCTTTGACAGAGAAGCCCCTGAGCGCACTCTGTTCAAGGACAGAGACGCAACTGAGTGATGATAAGTCATGCAAAATCCCCCAAAGCTTAAGTAAAGAACGCCATGATTTATGTAAATGAATGGAAGAAAAAAAAAAACTCTGTTCGACGTTAAACTTTGTTTATTTTCTTCTTCAGATTACCAGCCTCTGTGGATTAGGCGTCCCACAGCTTGGTTTTTTAATGATGGCTTTCGGTCTGGGCAGTTTTCTCGCAGACTCTTTGAGTAGCCGCATTCAAAAGATAGGCGGGCGGATTCTTACCGGGATAGCAGGTGAGTTGATTAAAAATCTATTTTTAATGCGAAATGTTTGTAACTGTGTATTACACTAAATGTGGTGCATGTCATTTCCATTGTAAGGGCTCAGGAAATTGCCATTCTTTAGTTTCACTAGTTCAGACATTTACAGCGATAAACACGTCGTGTTACAACCACGGAATCGAATCAGCCTTATTTCTCTTGTATTCCAAACATGAGAAAAAGAAAGTTCTACTCTTTTTTCTGAGGAACTACCATTTTGTGGTAAGACATCCATGTAAGTGCTCTCCTGAACACTTAAATTATGATTTCTTTAAGTCAAGAGTCTATCGTCATCTTTCTCATTTATCCTCATAATCTTCACCTCTTATTTTTCCATTCATATCATCAATACCTTTTTGACTTTATCCTTGAGTGACTCTCGAGCCGTATATCGCACGAAAATTACTATAAAAGTTTATTAATATTTTTTTAGTTTAGTTTACATTTCAGTTTGTCAGCGGAAATCATCAAACCATATAATAATTAACAATATGTATTTATTTATATATTTTCTCTGTATTTATTTATATATCTCCTGTCCTATCTGTAGGAGAAAGGAAGGTAAATCAACTTAAGTTTATGAGTGATTAGTTCCCGTAGTCATTTTAATAATCTATAAAAATAAAATATTTATCTGAATTTAGAAAAAATTGCTTTCCGAGAAAAATGAAACGTTTCTTATATTGCAGTCTTATTTGTTCAAGCCTTTCATGTGAGGGACACAGATAGATTTGTTTATTAAATGATCGGCTTGCTTCAACTAGGTCTAAAAATAGGGTTTGTCACCGCTGCCAGTGAATATTTGGAAGAAAAACATGGCCGCCTTCATACACGTCGCATTGAATATTTTGAGCCTTCTGATTGGTTAACCCTTCTATTGGTGAACTATAAAATGGGTCAGCTCATTTTGGATTGCTCACTAGTACTGGGGTACCCAAAAATTCCAACAGGTTTTACTATTTTAATTTTCTGATGAACCTTAATTCTTCAGTTAATGATTGAATAAGCTCATGGCGAGTTCCGCGACAATAAAACATCCGTAGAAATTCGCCTATCGCATCGTTGAATATTTGAGCTTAACAATTTTAACAGAATATTGCAATAACAAAAATAAATATGAATGTTGGTCATTATTTTAAGAAATGGGTACCAAGGAAAAGATTTAGAATTGACATTTCACTGGAACAACCGTTAAAAACTTCTATTTTCTCTTCTTTCTTTATTTCTTTCGTTTTCTCACTGAAACCAAGTAGCGTATGTCTTTTGTTTTTCTACGCAATGAAAATGGAATAGTCTATAATTTATTTAAAATAGGACATGATAATGAGCGTTTCGAGTCGAAACTCTTGAGTCGGTCAATGAGATAAGCCACTTGAACATTTTTGGATTTATTGAAAATCATAGTTTTACTAAACTACTGATAGCTTTTCCAAATTCTTAGAATTTTCATGTATTTGTTTATAGTTTCTGTCTCAAGTAGATTTTTTTACGGGATGGAATTTCGGGCCCCACATCCATTCGGTTTTTAATTCAGAATTATCGTCCTAGACTGTTTTCCAATCAAGGCAAAAGAACCCAGTCTACTCTGCTATAAACCCCCATTGAGGATAACCGCTATGCTTCACGTACATTCTCTCAGTTCAATCTTCTTCTATGTGCCGTGTTCCTTCAGGACCTGGGCCATCATGGCTCGCCACAATTTCCTATCCTTTGTAGCCCTTATTAAAATTTGTCTTTTTACTATCTTTCCCAAACACTGTTCAGACATCAATTTACCAAAGTTCGTTGGTTAAGCCTTGTTTTTATCTATCCCTTTTGTCTTCAATATGTCCTGTGAGTATCAGATTTTCCAAGCCCTATTTCCTCATTATATGACTTAGACATTTTAACTGTCTCTTTCTGGTGCTATGTATAAGTGTCCATTTTGTTTCTATTTTCTCTGAAACATCGTTGTTTCTCAAATGTTTAGTCCATGGTATTCTTAGCATACAAAGAGAAAAAGTAATTCGTAGCTGTTTTGTAGCCAATTACATCACATTAAGTGTCCTATAAACTATTAGAATCGTTACAGCGTCACATATACTACTGCCATGACAACAGTAGTGTATCTAATATCAGATAACCTGCCAGAAGCCATCCCTCTACGGGCTGGTTTTGAACTCAGTTTGCCGTCTCTTAGATTCTTTGCCGCGTCATGACAAGAGAGGCCGGTCTGCCCTGCTATTTAACGATCGGCTCAATGACTTGATCATGAGGAAGAACCCAAAACAGAAATTGCGCCAGGAAAAAATTATGGTGACTGCCTGGTGGTCCGCCATTGGCGGTATCCATGACAGCTTTCTGGAATTTAACCAGAGCATCACTGCCGAAATTTACTACCAGCAAAAGGATGAAATGCACATTCAGTTATGCAAAATGCGACCGGCACTGTCCAATTCGGCTTAATGAAAATACCTGGCCGTAATGTTATCAGAATGACACTGCGCCATATTCCCTGATTTCTCGCCAACACTTTAAAGCATCTTGACAATTTTTTTAAGTCAAAAGACATTCTGTTGAAAACAAGCTGTAGAAATTACACTCAAAGATTCCTTGACGTCCAAGAGTTTCATCATAAAGGCATAAATGTAACTCGATGGCAGAAATATATAGATGTTCAGGATTCCTATTTTAAGTGATATAGAGGATGTTGCACAATCTCGTATTCCAAGTCGGTCAGCTTTCGAAATGTCATCCTGACAACATTGCGGCCATAAAGCCGAATTGGACATCGTCGATCAACCAGTGCCGGTTGCTGTCTAAATACATTCACCCAGTTGCTGTCTAAATACATTCATTCATGTATAAAGGTTTGATTCTAAAATCAAAAATTATTTTCCGAGCAAATTAATAGATATGAACAGATTGAGATATAGAGATATGGATAGATAGATAGATAGATATGAACAGAGTGAGATATATAGATATGGATAGATAGATATGAACAGATTGAGACAGATAGCCATGAACAGATATGGCTAGCTACCTATGAACAGATATATATATATATATATATATATATATATATATATATATATATATATATATATATGAACAGATATAGATAGCTAGTTATGAAAGTTATGCCATAACTGGGTATTGAACTTACACACTTTGGGTCCTGCCACTGGATGTAAATAACGCCTTTATCCACTGTGCCATATGTCTTTGTGGAGAACTTGGAGAGGGAAATTAACAGGAGATAACTGATAACTGACATCCATTAGACATGGCACGTGGAAATAGAACAGTCTACCTCAGTGAGCGAAATAAAGAGTTTAGTTCGACATTCCAACCACCTGAGGAAGGCCATAGCGTATAACGGCCGAAACGTTGTAATAAATATGGCGACAAAGATGAGGACAATAGTTAGAATAATGGAAATAATGTCAAAATTTCTATCCACCGCTAAAGTGAATTATTCTAAGTAGCCAGCAAACGCTATCACCGAAACATTTACCGCAAAGGTAACGTTAATGGTTAACATTAATTCTTTTCATCTCTAATGGTAATGGAAATATTAGCCGTTTCCGTATAAGGAAATATCCAGCATTCATTGGCCGAGACAGACAGATAGATAGATAGATAGATAGATAGATAGATAGATAGATAGATATGAGCAGACTGAGATAAATAGATAGATAGATAGATAGATAGATAGATAGATAGATAGATAGATAGATATGAACGGACTGAGATAGAATGAATGGATGAATGAATGTGTGATATATCAATATATATTTACATTTTCGTATTTCTATATAAATTAATTGATCAGTTCTTTATCTCCACATATAATTCGATCGGCTAATTCTAAAAACAGGTGAAAATTCTTAAGAGAAATCTCAGACAATTTCAGGAATGGATATTTTTAGATTCATTTCGAATGTCTCGAAAATATATATTTTTTTAAAACCGTCCATAAAAACGTCAGTATTTAACAAACGGCGGAGCAGAAGCACTACATTGATGACGAAATCGTATTCTTACTTTTGATGCTGGAAGCAAGATTTCTGTGGCAGAGACCAATTCTGTCTCTGCGGGGTTTATATTTATTAAACTGTTGGCAGCAGGCGTTAAGAATGACAGACATTTTCGATAGAGTTGAAGAATGGAGTTTTAAATATACACTCTTTTTTTTCTCGTGATAAACAGACGTTGAATTTTATGAGTTGAATAAAGAAATTTGATAGGTATTAAAAGTTTATTGTCTGAATTGAATAGGTCCGCCTAATATGATCTCCCCAAATCTGAGATGTGAATCAGGGTCGCAGAATATAACGACCTTAACTTTGTAAAAAGTCATACGGAAAACGAAAAATTGCTCAGAAGTTATTTTTATCTTTTAGTGTATTTTCTTCTTTTTCTTTCTTTCTTTTTGTCTAAGTTTATTTTCATCTATCTATCTATCTATCTATCTATCTATCTATCTATCTATCTATCTATCTATCTATCTATCTATCTAGTTCTGTTAATATCCATCTATCTCCTGTTAATATCTGTCTATCTATCTATGGACAGAATATGTGAGCAGAAAGGAAATCTTAAGGAAAATAAGAAACAAGGAAATGTAAATTTATATTCAAAAACTGGCAGTTGACATTTTAGAGGAATATAATTAGAAAGGCGACCTAGCGAATTTAACACTCACAGAAAATATTGAAGGCAAGAGTGTAACCTACTTAATGTTTGTGCGAATGTTTGGCAGAGGAGGGGAAAAACGGATTGTAATGGGTTAAAAGTTACCTAGAACAATAAAATACCGTGGAGAGCCACGATCATGAACACCTTGAATGGACACGGACAGTAAAGAAAAAGAATAGATGCCGAAACAAGGTAAAAAGAAGGATAGTAAAATGCAAAACATCAGGAAGTCGTGGAGAGCCATGCTCGCCCATGTATTTTAGGGACGCACATAAAAGAAGAATGAGTACCGAAAAGTTGCTTAGAGCAAAAAGAGACAGGAAGTCGTGGAGAGCGCTGATCGCATACATCGTGAATAAATTTGATAAAAGAATAATGCAAATCAAGTAGTTCTAGTTAATGGTAGCCTTAAAACACCATTAATAGTACTGAATAATGAAGTTATACAAGTCTTTGTCATTTCGATAACTCCCCCTTTCTTTCAAAGGTCTCTTAAGCTGTCTTTTTATGTGCCGTGTCCTTTCGGGACGTAGGCGATCATGGCTCTCCACTTCTCCCTATCCCTTGTGGCTCTCAATAAGTTTCGTGCCTCCGCCAACTCCACCAGATCACATTCTGTCATCCACTTGTTTAAGCTCACTAGGTATGTCATGCGTTGCTTTCCCTTATCTCTTTTTCCCCTCTATTCGACCTGTGAGTATCAGATTCTCCAGGCCCTCCTTTCTCATTATGTGTACCAGAAATTTCCTCTGCCTCTTCTTTATGTTAAGCATAAGCTTCCTCCTTGTTTGCATCCTCTCCAAGAGCTCATCGTGGCTCACACGCTTGCTTCATAATATCTTTAGCATCCTTCTGTAGAACCACATCTCCGCTGCTTCGGGTCTCTTCTTCATCTTTGAGGAGACCGTCCAACATTCGCTGCCGTATAGGAGGACAGATGTAACGTAGCAGCTCAGTTCTATTTTCTTTGTCACCAAATAAATCCTCCTGTCTCGCAATACTTAACCCAACTTTTGGGATACATCGTTTGCCATCCCAATATGTCTTACGGATCCACTTCCTTAACTAGGTATTGAACTCACACACTTTGGGTCCTGTCACTGGATCTAACCAACGCCTTTATCCACTGTGCCATGTATCCTTGAGAATTTGCAGAGGGGAATTAACAGGAGATAACTGATAACTGACATCCATTAAACATGGCACGTGGAACTAGAACAGTCTACCCCAGTGAGCGAAATAAAGGGTTCAGTTCGACATTCCAACCACCTGAAGAAGGCCGCACCGTACAACGGCCGAAAAGTTGTAATAAATATGACGACAAAGATAAGGACAATGGTACGAATAATGTAAATAATGTACATAATACCTCATCTCAGAAATATAGACAGATACTGAAAGGCCGAAACGTTGTAATAAATATGGCGACAAAGATGAGGACAATAGTCCGAATAATGTAAATAATGTACATAATACCTCATCTCAGAAATATAGACAGATACGGAAGGGCCGAAACGTTGTAATAAATATGGCGACAAAGATGAGGACAATAGTCCGAATAATGTAAATAATGTACATAATACCTCATCTGAGAAATATAGACAGATACTGAAGGGCCGAAACGTTGTAATAAATATGGCGACAAAGATGAGGACAATAGTCCGAATAATGTAAATAATGTACATAATACCTCATCTCAGAAATATAGACAGATACGGAAGGGCCGAAACGTTGTAATTAATATGGCGACAAAGATGAGGACAATAGTCCGAATAATGTAAATAATGTACATAATACCTCATCTCAGAAATATAGACAGATACGGAAGGGCCGAAACGTTGTAATAAATATGGCGACAAAGATGAGGACAATAGTCCGAATAATGTAAATAATGTACATAATACCTCATCTCAGAAATATAGATAGACACTTCCCAGATATTTAAACTTCCGCACATGCTTTAATGTCCCCAACCTGCAAATCGCATTTCCAGTTCATCTTTTTACTGATCACCATGCATTCTGTCTTCTTGTACTTTATGGTTAGTCCCTTCTTCTTGCCCTCTCTCGTTACCTTCTGTAGGAGGTTTTATAATTTCTTTTCCGTGTCTGCTATCAGTATTCTGTCGTCTGCATACACTCCATTTTTCCCCATTTTCATCATCGCTTTACAAATGTGAAACGGTAATAAACTTAATGGCATTTAATGGTCAAACAGATATTTGAGACTAGAAATGTTTATCCCAACCACAGATGCCATTGCATATTTCATAACTTGAGCCAATTTTGTTATCCGAACACACTCGTTGGAACTGAAGAAAGATTTTATTTACCTTGTTCCATAAAGAACCAGATCATCAGAGTTTCGAATAAAATAGAATAAGATTTCCAGCGCCAATCGAAGGTACCAATGGGTGTCCTCTTTATTTCACATCTCAACACCGTTGATCGTAAGTACAAAAATAAAGCTACCTTCGAAATCATTTAAATCAACGAAGGGGAAAAACTTATATGATTAACACCGAAGATGTTGAAATATGAATAGAAACAATTTACACGCATAAGTAATAACAAATATATACATTTATATACAATTTATTCAGAATATATTTACAAGATGCAACTCAAGATGTATATCATCATCGGAAATATAATGTGAATTGGAAATCGTAAAAGAAATATTTTCTAAATGAACGTGGGCGTATTTCGCTATCGTATGTAGATTGTTGTGTTATATTGTTTTTCGCTAGGAAATGTTTATACAATTTACTCGATTGTCGCATGAAAGAATGAATTCTGATTTATCAAATCAAGTTGTGTGCTATACGTGATACAGGCAGATTTTTTCCTGCAGTAGGTTGCCATTTTTTTCTGCGGCTCACCAGTTGCCATCCAATAGAACGCGATCTGTCCTGCTATTTACTATTTGGGAGAAGAAAAGTGTTCATATCTTTCTCAAGGGTATTAGTACGTAAATGGATGTAATGGATCCGACTGGAATTCGAACTCGGCTCTCCGATTCCTCAAACCGAGCCGCTATCCATTACTCCACCGTGCTTCCTATTTTTTTCGGATATATTTTTAGTGATTTTTTTTTAAATCAATAAAATTAAATATATCCGAAAAATGCTAAAATGACTCATACTGTCAAAAAATGGCTGTATTTTTGGAATTGTATTCTTTTGTTGTGATATTCTGGTAATGCGTTGACCTCTGAATATTATTTTTTAGGGTTAAAAATGTATTTTTTAGAGTTAAAAATGTATTTTTTAGAGTTAAAAATGTATTTTTTAGAGTTAAAAATGGCATTACGTGACCACAACTGGGTTATAATATTACAAACAAAATCACATATGAGATACAACAAATGTTGTAGCAAACCTAAGGACGGTAATGGGTATACCCCCATTTCCATAAATACAGTAGTAAACACTGTATGTTAGTCTGAAGCCGGAGATTCGTCTCCAGCTGAGCTGGTTAAACTCTCTGCCATTGGCCAGGGGGGATTCCAATTCGAGGTTATGTCGAAGGGCAGAGTCTCGTCTCGGGAAACAGCTCCCCGACCCCCGTTTTATATGAGGTCTACGGGGAATTTTTGGCCGAGCCTACGGGCTAGGATACCCCACATTAAATTCGACTTTGTCCCACATCTGACCGCGTGGGGAGGTTGGTAGATATCCTGCAGTTGGAGATTCGTCTCCAACTGCAGACTAACATACAGAGAGGAACCCAAGACGAGCCTATGTTGAAGGGCAGAGTCTCGTGTCTGGAAACAGCTACCCGGCCCCGTTTTATTCGGGGCCTACGGGGAATTTTTAGACGAGCCCACGGGCTCGAAACCTCCACAATAAATTCGGCCTTGTGCCACATCTCATCGCGTGGGGTGGTTGGTAGATATCCTGCAGTTGGAGATTCATTGTGGAATTCACTTGACTCACTTTTAGCAGTTGACTCCTTCTTCTACGCGTCGCTGGCGAATCTGATATGTGTTGTTCTTGTCCTAAGTATTATCGTTCATTACCAACATTCCTGTGATTATTCTATTCGGTAATCTTTCCTAGGTTACAACGTAAGCATAGAAATAAAAACGATAACCCGCTTTAGTATACATTTCTGAGAAATTAATATATCTTAAAAGACATATATGTATACAGAAATAAAGAAATTTTGCTTAACTGTTGGTGGCAACATGTTTGTAAAAAACGTCTTCTTCTTCGGCGGTCGAAAACAGAAAGCGGTTTTTATTTTTTATTCTTTTGGCGGTAAAATGTTTGTTCTGATGCATCACGGGAGTCTTCTATATTTTATTTAACTTTTTTATAATCTAACTTTATCTTAACATTCTTATCTGTATTTTTATTTTTTTGTAAAAGTTATTTTTATAGCTTAACTTTTTAATATTTCTTTTATTATTAATTATTTTGGTTCTACATTACTACTTAGTCTAGTAATAGAAGTTGGGGTTATTTAGTAATTTATTTATTGCTATCACTAGAGTTTATATATTTCTGTAAGAGCAATTTAAAATTATTATCCATACCATTTTTCGCTTAAAAGTAATTTTTTGCCAATGGAAAACAAAATCTTAAGAATTGAAAATTAAGTTTGAACAAATCAAGATCGATTTTGTTGAAATCAAAATTAATTATTTTAAATGAAAAATACAGTTTTGTAATTGAGAAGTAAAATATTTTTCGAAAGTTAAAAAAGAAGTTTTCTTCTTTTCTTTTTTCAGAAGGATCTTAGAGTTTTTTGAAAAATAATACCTTTAAGAAAATATTGAATTTTGGTTTGTACAAATTTACTTTTCGTCTCTTTTTAATGGAAAAAAATAAGTTTTTGAAAGAAAAACGGAATATACAATATTCATAAATCAGAAATAT